TATATTCTTTTATAATTACTTTACTAACTTATAAAAGACTTCCTTTAGAATATAAAAGGTTTTAAAGAATTTTACTATACTATAATAAAGTAATATTTAAGCCTTTACTATAGCTATAAATACCCCTTTCGGGTTTATAATTTCCTTTAAATCCTAATTATAAGGGATTTATAGTATTTTTTAATTTAAATATAATTAACTAATTTTATTAAGTATTTATATAAAGAAAAGGTCCTTAAGGTTATTTTAATTTTTATTATTACTATAGTTAGGGTTAGAATTATTTATTTTTAAAGCTTTAGTTAGCTAGTTATAAGGTAGGCTTAAGGTAGTCTTATTAGCCTTTTATTATTATATAGTAAACTAGCTAAATATATACTTCTAGAAATATATATTTAGAGATAGCTATTTTAGCTAATAAACTATAGAATTCCTTAGTAACTTTCCTTTAATAAGTTTATAGCTAAAAAGGTATATCCTTAGAGCTTATATAACTTAATACTAAGTAAAAATTGCAATAAACTAACGATTTATTACGTAATAGGGCCTTAATTAGGGATAGCTTTACTTTTAGCTCTATAGCTAACGTTTTATTTAGTTATAACTTTCAATACAGATCAGGGCCTAGGTTCTAATAGGTGCGGTTCATCCGGCGCCCTTGCTGTGGCGCACATTAAAGAGTTGATAGAACGATAACTCCAAGCCCCCAAAGCTCGCAACTTTGGTAGCCAATGTCCCAGGGGCCGTATCCCAAGACCAGGCCTATGCTACAAAAAGCCTAGGTTGCGACGCTTTGACGTTTTAAGGACCGATACTAACCATGGAAGGGCCGTAATTCCACCAATGTAATCCTGGATAAATGACATACATGCTTACTCAGGCAGCCATTCGAGACCTGCCAAGCTTGATTGGTCTTTTCTAGATAAGCAATGGCCAGAAACTTCTCTCATAGGATATAATCTCCAAGAGTTGATGCTCAGAGCTCCACTGAGAAACTCACATGCCCAAGAACAACATTTCAGCCCAACCAACAATCCACAGAGTCTGAGTGGCTTGGCCAATATCCTTAGCCGAGCCAAGCCCCAAGACACGACATGGTCTTCCCTGGAACCCTCAGCCGGGGCTGCAGCCGCTGCAGGAAGCGAAAGATTAAGGTAAGTTTCCTGGTCAATCAATCTGAATCTGACAGGTCAACGGTCCAGCCCCTATCCTAACCTGTTCCTACCAGTGTGATGGCCGACGCCCGGGATGTCGACGTTGCGAGCTCTACAAGGCTCCATGCCCTGGCTATGATCGACCATTAGCGTTCCGCTTCCACGGAGAGCCTGGACGTAGCCTTGTTCGTGATGAGCCCGGCAGCTCTTCCGCGCAGACCCGCGTCTTGGGCATGGGGCTCGGCTACGAAAAGGCGAGGGCCAGAGGCTCAGGGGTTTGTCGACAACCCCAACCCTCGTTCGAGGATGAGTCCATCTCGTATTTCCTGCACGAGTACTGCGTCTTGCCGGCGCCAGGCGTCATCAAGGGGCACCTCGATTTTCTAGAGGACATGTACAGGAGCTCTAGCCGGTCATCGTGCATACGCCCGGCCCTCCTTGCTGCAGCTCACATGTCGCTTTCGAGACACTACAAGTCGTCAACGCTCTATGTCACGGCACGATACCACTACGGGGCTGCTTTGAGGACTGTCAATAGAGATCTGTCTGCATCTAGGCGGCCCCTCAAAGATGAAACACTGGCATCCCTGATGCTGTTGGGCATGATCGAGGTAAATCATGTGCTGCTGCAATGATCTGCAACTCGCTGACGAACCCCCAAGGATATCGAGTGCCAAGGTCAAACAACCAAGGCCGTGCACATGGCCGGTATTTCCAAGTTATTCGACGTAGTCGGGCACCGCGTGATAACAAATGTCGAAGAGTCCAACTTGCATTCATGGATTTTTACTCAAATGGTTAGTAGGCCTTAACGGGACCCTTATAGCATGGATGCTGAGACACAAAATAAGCAAATCCCCTCACTCATGGCCAAGGACGATATGGACTGTCTAGTCGTCCCCGACTCACAGCTTGACACATCAAACCCAGTGATCCGCTTAGCCCTGGTCGTCACTCGCATTGGACAGTTCTACAGGGCAGCTAGGCGAATCACGAGTGCAGAGTCGACATCGACACCGAATAAGCAACGGGCATTACTCGTTCCGGTTATCCAAGAAGCCTTGGCAATCGGCGCTGAGTTGGCCATGATTGAAAAGGCCATGCCTACAAGACTACAACCGCAGCAAACAGCGGACAAGCGACCTGCGACTCCGAATGATAAGCCCTTGGTCAGCTTCCAATCGCGATGGACGGCGTGCACGTGGGTATTCTTCAACATGTACCTCATACTGTTCTTCGGGAGGCTGCATGTATGTGCTGCAACCCTCCTGCGGCTCGTGGACTCAAAGAGTAGTCCGCAGGTTCAGCTCGCTCAGACCACCGCCACCATCGCCGAAAAGCAAGTTGTTTCAATGACTCAGAGGCTCTGCAGTGTCTTGCCTTATCTGATGGGCGAAGTCAACGAGCAGGGTATCCCACTTCCCGTACCGCAACGTCAGAGCGTCATCATGTACCATCTGGTCTGGCCACTTGCCATCGCTCTCGAAAGTCCGCACAGTAGCCCCGGGCAAGTTAAAGAGTGTCAGGCCAGGCTCAACCTGATTCGAGATTTGTATGGCATCAGACTCGCGTCTTTTGCCCCGGGCCTGGCAAAAGACCTTATGGCCTAAGTCTTGTAGAGCGGGCGTACCTGCGATGAGGTTCCCAAACATGGAGAACATTTTTCTAAATGGGGCTAGTGGCATCCCGATGGGAATGTTAGTGATTATACGTTTCAGGTTGATGATACACGGAAGGTGAGCTAACGCTTCTAGTTGGGAATGATATGATCGGTTACGTTGTATTACGATTTACTTAGATTCTAGATGAGTATGTACGATAGTTTAATGAATAACCTTTTTGCTGGTCACATCTGAGTCTCGAAGCCTCCTTACTGGGTACAAGTGAATCGCAGCATGGTCTGGCTTGGGGCCGCGTACCTGTCCAAAGGCTGCCTCTAAGGGTATACCGTAAAGGTTTCATCGGAGCCTGGCACGAAACGTCTGCGATGGAAAAGGGAAAGCTTCAGGGTAAATGTAACTCATTTTAACTTGAAGGGTCCTAGTTCATAGCACTATTGTACTATACCTGGCTGATCTGCTGCGGGGCTGAATCCCGAATTCTCGTACTTCGTTAACACCTCGTTCCTTGCATGGGATTATTCCGGCTTGCGTATCGGTTGGTGTACCCGCACGGCGAGGAGTAAAAATACCTAACCCCTTGTAACGGCCTTAAGGCGTCAGATGAATAATCCAGATCGATAACGGAATCAAATAACGTCCGGTGCCGGCCTGTCTAATAAGAGAATCAAGAAGGTTGGAAAATTGGGGTAATTACTTATCCAACGCCTTGGGACTGTCAAAGGAATGAGCTTTTTTATTTCGCCGAAATACCTTCAAGAGTTAACAGTAGCGACCCTTATTGCGTAAATGAGGACATAACAAATGGCCGTTGATCTCGTTGTTGCGACCAGAAGCGGCATGCCTTGCGTGCTTGCATGCTAAATCGGTCGATCTCAGCCAAGGGTACAGGGTAGTCTGGTCTAGTCCAGTTGGCCGAAGTGTCACCTAACGGTCAGGCCCGAAAGAGGCTAGACCGTTTCACTGACAACTCCACTTGATTGCTACCGCGTTAATAAACTTCCTCCTCTACGACGTTTCACTATCATCTAACTCGTCTCGGTTAACAATGCGAACCTCGCTCCGAAGATCTTGTAATGCCTGCGCGAAGGCGAAGCATAGTTGCGATCTCGGAACTCCCAAATGTTCACGATGTCTCAAGAGAAAAGTCACGTGTATTTACGCAAACGTGCCTTTGTCTTCATCATCAGCAACTTCATCATCAACACCGGAACAGCCGGCTCGGAGCAGGCCGATAGACAAGTCTGATGTGAAGACGTATTCTTTGAAGAGTCGAGACTTGGATCTAGCCCCTCAAGACTCGTTAGAACTATTTGCACCGGCTGGTAATTTCTTTGATCCTTTTGACTCATATCCAGCCACCAGACTTCCGAGAGTTCACGTTCAACGATTGATACAGCACTGTAAAGTATTGTCTACTAAGTTTCAAGATGGTCTAATATCTGACTCAAGGACTAGTTCTCTCAAATATCTCTTTTCAATATTACCCTTTGGATCTCAACATGTCCTCAAATCCATTCATCGTCTCTTGGTGGCCATTGGCTCTTGCAGATCCAGCATTGTTCCATGTTTCTATACAGACGGCGTCATTAGATGAAGAGAGGCGTGCTCAGAAAGGCTTCCCTATATCAGAACTTCTCATGGTGGATTCTGTATCTCTAATACGGAAGAAGATAGGGAGTTCGTTGCTGGCGATCCAGGATGAGACATTGAACTCTGTTGTCACCTTGGCCGCCATTGAAGTGAGTAATTTCTTCAGGGCCACCGATTATAACTCTGTTAATTGACTCACGAGTGTAGCATGGAAAGGGGAATATTGACGCCAGTAGAGCGCATATAGACGGGGCGAAACGTATTGTTGGGATCCGAGGTGGACTTGATCAAGTGAAGCAAGTAAGCCCTTTGACCGCGAGGATGATTGCTTGGTGAGTCATATCTTCCCATCCCCGCGAATGACTTGCTAAACTCACTTTGAAGGGTATCGTTGCTCGTCACAGGCTCCCCTCAATATGCAATACAGGACGACCTTGGCATTGGAGATGGAGTTGCTCCAACACTGCAATGGCTTCTCGCATCGTCCTTCCTTGAGATCCAAGACCCTGTTGTTGATGCTCTCCTCCTCGATCGCGAGATAGCAGATATTCTGACTCGCTTGCGTGGCATGTTTCACCAACCGAACGCCTTGAGTTTATTGGGTACCGAACTTCACGATCTTACATGTTTCGTGGTTCACAAGCTTTTGCTCATTCCGCCACTCAGAGACTCGCCTCAATCGGAGTGTCTGCGATGCGCCATAACACTCTACATGCTCATCATACATGGCACAACTTATTATACGCATACAGAGTTGGCAAACAGGATCATTCAACGTCTCAAGGGCCAGCTCCAACCTTTAGCGGGTAAAACGGGCAGTGTCTTCTTCGGTTCCTTGCAGATCTGGGTACTCTCAGTCACAATTGTCTCGGCTACGGACCCAACAGATATACAATGGCTCATATACGCAGCCAAAATTGCAGCAAATGCCATGGATTTGCAGTCTTGGGATGATGTTATTGTCCATCTACAGAATATTCTGTGGCTGGAGACAGAGCGCGCAGAAGTGTTCCGACAACAGTGGGAAGCAATTCTGACATGAGCACGCACAAATATCAATTGAAATAATTAACACAAAATCCGGACGTCCTGAAAACGGACACTGAAGCGCTCTCGAAAAACGTACGACACGCTATTTCGCAAATTGCTGCTGCGGCGCTGTATGCAATTGCGTATTCGGGTTTCATGATTTTCAATCGGAGACTAGCCCTAAAGAGTACTAGTCTCCGCAGTGTCAGGATGCCAAACGATGCTGCAGCGGCAATAAAGAAGCGAGGCATCAGGCTATAGCCGGGACCAACGACAGTAAGCATATTTGACAGCAATGATTTTGGAGTAGAGCATACCAATCAAGGTTGGCATGCACTTTAATGGTTTGCAAATGGATTTGGAGATCCCTCGGCGTATGGGGATGGAACTCGGTACGAGACAAAGCAAGACCTCCTTTGCATGGCCTGATGCTGATTCAGAGGGACTCGATTGCGACAAGCTGAGCGTTGAGACAGATTTGATATGATATAGACACACAGGTCATCTTCTCCACCTTGGAGATCGGAGTCTAGTACATATACAGTAATCTCGAATCTAGCAATATCAGCCCATCGCAGTTCGATGACCATATCGGGAGGCCCATCAAGTCAAAATAGCCAGATCCTTTGTATTATATGGATATGCCGTCCAATGCCCGAGGCATACTCAGAGAGTTCGTATTCTTGTTGTAAGATCCGATCAGTACTGGATGTTAAGCTCCTAGATAATCCCTGTACTAGAGCCAGCATGACTTGTGTCCTACCTTATAAGACCTCTATGCCCCTCGGATCTGTATCAGTTTCAATTCATATGCTGGTTGCTCTGTTCACTTTCGTTCCCAGAATGGCATCCATAATCAGTCCCAAAGCTGAGGCGTTACTCAGCAACGCCAGCCTAACCTTGAAGGATGATTCCAACGGGAATGGGCTACTGTCAAGCTACCTCAATGGCTACAGCAACACTCAAATACTCCTTACGATCCTAGTTGTCTTGATTGCATACGATCAATGCATGTATCTCTGGCGTAAGGGCCCAATTGCCGGTCCAGCTTTCAAAATCCCTTTCATGGGTCCCTTCATCCGAGCACTCTATCCCAAGTTCGACCATTATCTTGCTCAATGGGCCAGCGGTCCTCTGAGTTGCGTTTCGGTGTTCCACAAGTAAGTCACCGCCCCGTTCTCCGCCGTAAAATGCCGATTGTCTTATTCGTAAGGTTCGTCGTCCTCGCCTCCGACCGAGATATCGCACACAAAGTGTTCAAGTCCCCAACATATGCCAAACCATGCATCGTCCCCATGGCCGAGACCCTCCTCCGACCAACCGCCTGGGTCTTCCTACAAGGCAAGGCACACACTGAGTACCGCAAAGGACTCAACGGGCTCTTCGTCAACAAAGCACTCAGCACTTACCTGCCCGTCCAAGAGAAGGTATACGATGATTACTTCGGCCGGTTCGTAGCAGCAAGCGAGGCCAACAAGGGGAAGCCTATGGCATTTATGCGTCTCTTCCGAGAGATCAATTGTGCTCTCTCTTGTCGAACGTTCTTTGGAGATTACATATCTCAAGATGCTGTCGAGAAGATTGCTGACGACTTTTATGAGGTCACGGCCGCCCTCGAGCTAGTAAACGTACCTCTCTCCGTCTATGTTCCCTTTACAAAGTGCTGGAAGGGAAAGCGTACCGCAGATGCCGTGCTGGCTGAATTTGCAAAGTGTGCTGCGGCTTGCAAGGCTAACATGGCTTCTGGTGCTGAGCCACGATGTATCGTTGATCAGTGGGTTTTGCACATGATGGAGTCCAAGAGATACTACGACCGAATTGCTGCAGGAGAAGAGGGAATTGAGAAACCACGAAACTTGATTCGTGAGTTTACAGACGACGAAATTGGGCAGACCATGTTCACCTTCTTGTTCGCCTCCCAAGATGCTTCCAGCAGCGCTACTACGTGGCTATTCCAGGTCCTCGCTCAACGCCCGGATGTTCTCGATCGTCTTCGAGAAGAGAATCTCGTCGTACGAAATGGCAACAGGCACCAACCGTTCGAGTTATCAATGCTCGAGTCCCTTCCTTACACCAACGCAGTCATCAAAGAGCTTCTTCGATATCGTCCTCCTGTTATCTTTGTCCCCTACGAGGCTACCAAGTCCTTCCCCGTCACACCCAAGTACACAGTATCCAAAGGCACTCTCATCGTCCCCACGTGCTATCCTGCGCTTCACGACCCTCAGGCCTATCCAAACCCTGAGGCTTTTGACCCTGACCGATGGATCACGGGCGATGCCGAGTCCAAGATAAAGAATTGGCTTGTCTTTGGAGCTGGTCCCCACGATTGCCTGGCGCGCAGGTACGTTCCGCTTACTATGGCTGCCATGATTGGCAAGGCTTCTCTGGAACTAGACTGGGTGCATCATGCAACCAGCCGTTCGGAAGAGATTAGAGTGTTTGCTACTTTGTTTCCTGAGGTAAGTTTATTGCATGCTCAGTAACATTATCATGAACTGATTTCTGATGTCATCAGGACGAATGCCAGCTGGTCTTCACCAAGAGAGAGTAGTTTGTTGCTCGCGATCGAGGCAAGGTGATTGCGAATTTGATAATTAGACCGTGCGCCGACCGTAGAATACGCGAATGAGTTGCTCGAGAATGAGAAACCAGTTACGGATACATATTGTGTGGCTATGTGATGTTTTGATCTATTCAAGTCATGGCTAGATGCTCGCTAATACGAATGGAAGATAAAGCTATATACAAAGTGTCAAAGGGCTTCGGTCATCTGGCCGATACGTCCTTAGAAAGGATGTTGGAATGGCACCCTATTATAAATTACAGCTAGGCAACGCGTTGACTGCAGGCTACGAACCTAGGCAAAGACACTGTCGAGGAGGAAGGCAACCTCCTCCTTTCGGACGTTGTCGACAGCCGTGTAGCTGAGGTCAGTCTTGTTGACGTCGAAGACAATGTTAAGAGGCTCTGCAAGTGTGTACTGAGGCCAGGTAACATGGCTGGGCGCAGTCTTGACGGTATTGGGGGTCAAGTCATGCATGAAAGAAACCCACATCTTGCTCATGAGGTCAGCGAGCTCGACGAAAGTCTCGGGCTTGCCTTCAAAGGGGTTGGGCTTGTAGCCAACACCCTTGACGTTGTTGAAGACGAAAGCAACCTCCTGGAAGTGGGTAGCTCCAAGGATGGCGGGAAGGCCATTGACGTAAACGTCCCAAAGGTAGGAGAAGACGGGAATGGAAGAGGCGGAGTAGACCTGGGCCAAGAGACGTCGTCCAGCGTGCTGCTGGAAGTCACCAGCGAAGGCGGCAGCGCGCTTCCACTGGGAGCCATACTCGTTGGTAGGACGGCCAATGAAAGATGCGGGGATCCCCTCGTCGGGGATATCAGGGTACAGAGTAGTAGCTGTGGCGACCTGAGTCTGGCTGAGGCCGAGGCTGGAGAGCCAGGACTGGAACTGCTCGGTGGTGTTGATACCCTTCTTGGCGTAGGCAGTACCCTCGTCGAAGTTGTTACCCATGAGAAGAGGAACGTGAGCGAACTTGCCAGCCAGAAGGAGCTTAGAGGCTTGGGCGGTCATGAAGTCACCGTCGATAACAGCAGTGAGAGTAGGAGCGGTGACATCGAGAGGGGTAGTGTTGTTGAAGATGTTGTTGAGGGTCTCCCAAGGAAGGCCACGAAGACACTCGAGGTTGTCGGAGGCAGAGTCGCATCCAGTCTTCTTGACAAGAGCATCATAGTACTCCTGCCAATCAGAAGCTTCGTTGAACAGTGCGACAGGGCTGCCAGACTCGAGAACAGCAGCACGGAAGAGGTTGTTGTGCTGGCCCTCGTAAGCGACAAGCTGCATACCCAGGGATCGAGCGCCAGCAGACTCTCCCCAGATAGTGACCTTGTCGGGGCTACCACCGAAGGCGGCGACATTGTCCTGAAGCCATCTCATAGCCAGGCGCTGATCCTTGAAGCCCAAGTTACCTGCATTCTCCTTCTGCATCTCTTCGCTGAAGAGGAAACCCCATTGCGACACACGGTAGTTGATGGAGGCAGCGACTATAGGCTTGCCCTCCTTGACGGATTGGTCAACGATGTAGCTCAGGTTGTACCTAGGGTCTCGGGAACCGCCGTTGGTGTAGCTCTGTCTTATTGTTAGTCATAATATAGCATTGGGTATATAAGACGGGAACTTACGCCTCCATGAACCCAAAGACCAACGGGGAGCTCATCTCCGGCCTTGACACCAGAAGGTCGTACGATGTTAATAGTTAAGCAGTCCTCGTTGACAGGGTTACCGAGGGCCTGGGTATCAGAGCCGTAACCAATGCACATCCATCCGAACTCAGTGGCAGATCGAGGTCCCTTCCAGGCCTTATCAAGAGACTTGGGTGAAGAAAAACGCAATGGGCCTACAGGAGGTTGGGCATAGGGCATGCCAAGGAACAGGTCATGATCATACGTGGTGTCATGCTTGCCCTGGTAAGTTCCGTTGCAGACTTGAGCAGTAGGAACGCCTGCAGGGGAAACGTGGGGAGGGCCGGGAGCGGGAGCAGAGGGAGAAGGAGGGGGAGGAGGATTGGGAGGTCCAGGAGGTCCAGGAGGTCCAGGAGGTCCAGGAGGATGATGATCACCAGGAACGCCAGGAACAGGAGGGGCAGGGTAATGGGGGAGGGCAGAAGCGTAATCAGAGAAAGCCGCCAAGAGCAGGCTTAGTGTGTTTGAGGAATGCATCTTGTTGCGTTTTGACAAAGGGACAAGGTGCGTGGAGTGAGGATCGCGAGCTGAGCTTCTAGACAACGTCTGGAAGAAAAAATGAGGAAGCTCGTTTAAGAAACTTGCATCAGTGGCTTGTCATGTCGATCGCTGTCTTTAAGTTCAACGGACGTCGAGGCCTGGTGGGCCGTGAGAACGGAGCATTGTCCATACAAAATACATACATGGTCAACCATGCATGTCATGACTTGAGTGAAATTACACTCTCTCGTCCCAGGGATTGTGCATCCGAAGAAGAGCCAGCCT